TTAATTAATAAATATTAATGTACTGCTCTCGTTAAATCATCAATTTAACATCATCAATTTGACATCAATTTAACCTAGGCGACTTTGGCACTGTTAAAAAATAGTTTTCCTCACTGGCCCGAAGATTTGAGTAAAGCATGCTTCCCCGCCCTGACACTCTTAGCAAGGAAAAACTGGTTTCTCGGAAGAGAAGCACCTCATGTTTACTATCTTTACTCTAACGGATACCGAGTTAGTTAGTGTCATAATTAATTGGAATAAAGTCCTATATTAATTGAAAATTCCCCCCTTTGCAGACATCGACACTGTTTTGTAACGATCCCGGCTAAAAGGAAAAGATTCCAGTGTTCTAGTTATGTTTTTATGCTTATTACAACTAGTCTACATGAATTCAGGATCATTAGAAAGTGCAGCCACAATTACTTTATCAGCCTGAATTCTGTGAAACGTATTTCATGAAGCTTTGTCCTCTGCCAGTGTTTTGAATAAAGAGCCAGAACTAGCTTTTTCGATTGAATACGTTACATTTTAGTTTTAATTCTTTCTAATAAGGATTTCTTCCTTTTGCTCATTACAAATGGTTTAAAATAAATCAAACTAGCTGAGTAATAGTTTATTACTCGGCCTACAGGTATTTCAGATAAATTCAGTCTGTCCATTATAAACGATGTTGAACAGACTACCCAAATCTGACTTAATGACTATCAATAGTAAACTACGTAACATTGAAATTTTGAATCCAACCCAGAAGACAAAGGAACATATGCATCAAGCAAAAGTTCAAGCTAGCCTTGGAGGACATTCTGATGGAAATAATCCGCATTTGTGTTACAAGGAAGGAAAACTATAGAAACCTCCCACGGTTATAATGACAAAAAGGGGTTTCTAAGCCACGATCCGTCCACTACTGAGGATATTTTACGTCAGCACTGTGATCGGTGAGAGCTTGGAGCTGAATTCATATCAACCAGTTACCGCGAAGATTAGAACCAGGGTCCTCTCATCAGATGGCGAGCACTTTATCCTTTCAGCCACAGCTGCTCTATCAAACTGGTTAGAAAATAATGGAAAATTTCCAATTAGCCAAGTTCGTTGCAAAAATATAATGGTGATTTGCAAAAAAAAAACATATTTTGATTAACCTAAGACATATATTTGCGGAACATTACACAATTGAAAATTGAGCTCAAATATCATTTTACAAAGGACGGAAAACTTACTGAACTTAGCTTTAACTAGCAATTTAATTTAAACAATATTAAAAGAAGAAGAATAAAGTAATGAAGATTGTAAGCGGAATTAAAGAAAAAAAGAAACTGCATAAAACACTGTTTAATATTTCTCTTTAGCCTCTAATTATGCAATTTCCAATTAAATGTTTCGAATTATAATTTTTACAGAACACTGTGGAAATAAAAATACATAAATTAATTAAATAAAACATCCAGTCATTTACTAATAATTATTTGATTTTTAAAAGTATAAAACTATAAGTATACAATCTTTATTTTTTTAGAGATTTAAAATCATCAATAAATTATTTTACTCAAAAAAGATATTAATATAAAATTTAACATTTCAACGCATAATTTAATACAATCGTCAAATAAATAATGAAAAATGTATAAAAATTGCCATAATGTAGAAAATTAGTTTTTGCGAGTAAAAATAAATTTTAAAGTAAGCTATTTAAATATACGGTAAATTACGTTAGTTCTTGAAATTCTATGTTGAAATAAACGAAGATATAATTACATTAAGGAAAATGTCATAAATAATTCACAATGTTATTCATAATAGATGTTGTAATGTTTAAAAAACGCTAAAAAAATATTTTCCTTTAAAATGTTTCATGTTTTAAAATGTTTCCTTTAAATATTTTAAATGAAAACATTTTATTTAAATATGATATTGCTTAAAAACTAAGCAAACTATATTTTTTGCATATTTATTTCAAAGCATTTGATTTTAAATCGTATTACTATTTATTTAGAATGAAACTAATGTTTTACTTGAATAAAAATTTCTTGTTAACGAAATATTCTTCTTTAGAGGCTGATGGCTTCTTTTTTCATGCAAACGTGCTGAAAAAATTAAGCAGTCTTGAATTATTTAAACTACTTACCGCTGTTCAAGTATCGATACTTTTATTTTGATTAAAATAAAACATTTATCCTAAAATTGAGTTCATTAAATTAAAATATTTCATTTTTTGCTTCTCTTATTATTTTTAAACTCTAAAGTTTGAAATATTTTTGTATTAAATGTTAGTTATTCTTATTATTTAACCCATTTTACTACTAGTCTAATTTATTCAACATAGAAGTAGATGGGAATATTTTTCTCAAATAGCAGAAAAATATTGCGTATGTAAAAACAAGAAAACGTTTTGTTTTTCGATTGCAGAAAACAGCTGAAGAATATCCTCAAAAAAATGTGATTCAAAAATATAGAGTTTCCTCAATACAAAACTCAGTCAAAATACTTCTATTTTACGATACTGTGTTTTACATGAAGCTGACTTACGGCCTGAAAATTATCTTTTTCTCAAAAATATTCGGTCTTCCTTACGTGCTATAAGTGTAATAGCTACGTAGCTATATATGTTTTTGCTTCTCCATGTTTAAGTACCAAATAAAGTTTTTTTCAAGTAGCCCTAGATCAAATAAAGTTTTTTTCAAAAGCCCTAGATCAATTATTCCCAAGAGCACTCCAATAAACCAAAAGGACTTCACAAAAGTGCCACTTACATTATCTTGTAATATTTTTTTTTACATTGCAAGAAAAATTGGCTTAACATTGGACGAAATATACAGGTCCCTTAAGCTATAAAATGTAACAAATTTGCCAAAACTTTAATAATATGTTAAATTAACCATAGTATGGTGTAATCTAGTTTAAGAAAACATGATTAACTTTGCACCATATTACTGTTGTATAAAATCTGAACGTTAGTATGTTTCAACACATTCTAAAACTTCTATAAGGTATACTAAGTTTAATGCAAGCAACAAATATTATCACAATCTTTTATACAATGAATTACTGCGTGTGGAAAATTGAAAAGATAATTTTCTAAATAAGAATGCACCATCTATTGAAGATCTATTAAAGTATTTGTTTGTAAGTTCTAGTAAAATTTATTTTTCTCTTGTTAGTTCCTCAACATGAAAAATTTGCCATAATAAATTTGCATAGAATTCAAATGTTAATAAACTCTGATTATGCTATTAAAGATTTATATATTTTTTACACTTTCAATGATAATATAAAGGGTAAGTATTTGAATATATTAATGAAATAAATTTATTAAATACTAAACCCTTGAAGAGTTAGACCATTGAGAGAATACTATTTCGCTGCTTTATAGATATTTTTATTTTATAATAATATTAATAATACTTGAAAGCTGATTAGTAAGTCTTACAATTATCTTGTAAACTTGTATATTAAGTATATTTTGCATTACTAAATATGATGTTTGCATTACTGAATATGAGTCTTATGGAAGCTACAAATCTTATCACGATCTTTTATACAATGAACTACTGCCTGTGGAAAATTGAAAAGATAATTTTCTAAATAAGAATGCACCATCTAGTGAAGATCTATTAAAGTATTTGTTTGTAAGTTCTACTAAAATTTATTTTTCTCTTGTTAGTTCCTCAACATGAAAAATTTGCCATAAGAACTTTGCATAGAATTCAAATGTTAATAAACTCTGATTATGCTATTAAAGATTTATATATTTTTTACCCTTTTAATGATATTATAAAGGGTAAGTATTTGAATATATTAATGAAATAAATTTATTAAATACTGAACCATTGAAGAGTTAGACCATTGAGGGAATACTATTTCGCTGTCTTATAGATATTTTTATTTTACAATAATATTAATAAAATTTCAGCACTAATTAGTAAGTCTTACAATTATTTCCTAAACTTGTATATTAAGTATAATTTGGATTACTAAATATGCTGTGTGTAAGTTATTAAAAATAATGTATGGACACTTTTGCAAATAAATACTTATCTATAACAATGCCTACTGTTTAAGGAGATCCAAACTTAAATAAATAATATAATTATTAAGAACATTAAAAAATCAATGTGACATTGAAATGAGATCATTGTATCGCTTTTATAATGTTTATAAAAGTTTTGCATAGTAAGGAAAAATTACTTTTAGATTGTTTTAAAACTTAAATTATTTTTAGGCATTTAAATACAATTTTGCAGATTATTTCTCAGTGAACACTATGTAAATTACGTTCATGCACCATTTATGTGCTTTCATTTGTGCTTTATTCAGGTTTGTTTTTGCTTTATTTAATTATAAATGTAAATACAACAGGATATAAAAATCAAGTAAAAAGATATTAAAGTAAAAGTAAGAGATAAGATCAAGCAAAAAATATTCGGAAAAAAATATAAACTTAACTTCTATCTACGTTTGATTGAAAATTATTTCTATATTTATAGCAATAAATATACAATTGATCTAAACATATTTTATACATTTTGATTCTAAAGAGACTTTACAAAAAAACATAAACCAACTCCAATGCACTTATGAAAATATATATAGTAATTTATGGTTGTAATTATGCATGATATACTCTTCCAAAATAATAATATCATAGGGCATTGTAATTTCACATAACGCGAAGAACCTTTATTTTTAATTATCAATTTTACTTATGTTCAATTCATTTCAAAGCTTGCAATTTTTTCAATATAAATATTCATCTTAATTAATTAAAACTCAAAAACAAAACATCTGAATTGTAAAAGCTTTCCAATCATCTAAGATAACTTTCTTCGAAACTTTTCGTCGCGGAAACTTTGCGCAAAAGTTCCGTCCGCGGACCGGACAGTTTTTCCCGAAGTTAGTTTTCCCCTTTCTCTCATTCACTCTTGGAGTTACTGCAGAGGCCTCGAAAGTAGGTCACTACGTACCATGAAATTATCTAAAGCAATGAGTATGTTGCAACTTACGTTTTCTGAAGGATTCAGTATCTACATCATCTGGAGGGTGTTGTGGAGGAGGTGGGGGTAGACAGACACACAGACGAAAGGTCTGCACACCTGCTCAGGACTTGCTGGCGGATGAACACTCGGTTTCTCTTCTGTTCCGGCTCGTCTCGCCGAACCCCTTTTGACGAAAAGCCGCCGGAGAGCGCGCAGCTTGCCTTCCAGGGTTGCTTAGCAACTCGGGAGGAACGTCGCCAATGGTCGGCTTTCCTGCCAAACATTGAGTGGGATCAAAAGTTTTCAAGGCGCATTGTTAACGAAGAATATAATTTAAAAGTGTTTTTATGGAAAATTTAAAGGTGTAGTATAATCTTTTCCTCCTATTTAAATTTTGCTCGAAATATTATACGGAATAATTTTCTTTAACTTTGCACAACATCAAAATATTAATGAAAAATTCATTTTTTCTCCTGAAATATTTGTATACGTAATCATAATTGGAATGAAAAATTTTAATCTTAACATGAGGAACTTAAATAAAACGATTAAAGGCAGAAAACTGTTAATAAAATTATAATAACTCATTTTTAAAGTTTGGCATCATACATAGTCTTGGATTAAGTACTAAGCTGTTTTAGTAAGGTTTTTTTTAATATGCCATATTGCCATAATGACATATTTCGAATACGATCAAATTATTTGCTATGTATCAAACTGGTATCCCCTTCTAGTTTGAACTGGTATGCTAATAATAGAAGAGTTTTAAATCTCGATTAATTTCAAAGTGCATTTTTGTTTATGTTTACATTTAGTCAAATTAAAAAATAAACTAACTGTCTCGTTTCTTTGAAGCCAAGTAGAGTATCAGCTGTATTCCAAGCAACCACGAGAGTTTGCATTGTGAAAAAAAAATTGTGCCTTCATTATTATTATGAAGAAATATCAACAATCAGATGATCTTGAAAACAAACCAATTATATGCAATCGAAATGTTAATTAAAGGAAAGACTAAATAAAGCAAATAATATCATTCAGTTTCTAACTTCAAGATTTAAAGATAACCACAAAAATTTAAAATTTAACCAGCTTATTGACAAGTTGCATTATTAAGATTCTTCATTAATAATACTACATTGAGAGAGAAACGAAAAGTTTATAGGCTGCTAGGGATATGTACAACATTTAAAAACAATTATAAACATTTCAGAACGCAAATCAAAACATAATTTTCGTAAAAAAGAGATGTTAGTTGGACACGCTTTAAAAAAGTAAAAAAATGTGCCGTAGATCAATATGACCAACTGATATGACCAACTTCTATTCAAATTTAAAATTTCATCTCTCTCTTTTAGGAAATTTAACTCAAAAACATTGTATTTTAAATACAATAAATTCGATAAAAAAGAAGTCTATTGAAACAATGAAAAACAAAAAAATTTGGATTGAAATATAGGCTTTTTCTAGTGAAAAAATAAAAGAAAGAAATCATTGAGAGATTTCACAACAGTCTAAGAATATGATACGTTTTTTAAGTAAATTTCTTAAAAACTAAAACTTGAAAATTGAATACATTTTTATATGCATACTTGATAAATTTCATTCTTGAAATCAGTAAGAAATTAAGAATAATTTCATGATATAGTAATCCAGTGATCAAGTAATCCAGTATATCAATGAACCAAAGCGCAATAATGATTTTTTTTAAAACACCATCATACTTTGAGAATAACTAAAACATGTCAAATATATTCAGCGCTATAATTTCTAATTTGTATCTCGCTAGTGGAATAAGGGTCATTATAAAATGCAGTTAGTTGAACATAATAATATGATACTATATGTCGGCATTATAATATCACTGAAACTATGCTTTTGTTATTTACGACTAAATAACCAGTGTAGAATGGTATGCGAGCCATCTACAATTATGGATATGGCTACTAGTTTACCAGAGACCATTAATATAGCATTACACGAAATATCGAGAGGAAACTACATACGTATTCAGTAAGTATCCATAGTTAAAGCATGGCCTTGCACTCTATCGGTGTGTGTTACTTAAATTTGAAAGTTTCACTTTAAAAATATCGAAGCTTTCAAGTTTATGAGCTCTTAAAACCAGTTTTTCTTCTAATTCTTATGATCTTTAAAATCCAATACAGCAGCTTAATGGAACAAACAGGTTTAGATCTTTTTTTCGACGGATTCGTATTCTTAACTTGAGTATTTGCAATCAGGGAACTATGATCCTAATATTTTAGGTAGGAGCGAGATGCAAAGCTTACACCCATTAATGATAATTTTGCTTTTTGCGTATTGCACTATATCTCGAGAACTTTTTAAGTGAATTGAAATTTTTTTGCATACTTTAATAAAATTGGTTTGTCCAATGATAATTCCATGCAAAAATAACGTTTGGTAAATATTTATTATTTTTTATTATTTTATTTAAGAATAATCGAAAGCAAATTGAATTGTAAATGCCTAAAGTATTTTTGTAATTTTATATGACAAAACATTAAATTTGAGTGAAATCGGTCTAATAGTCAAATTTAAAGACGACTTTTTTTGCCAGTATAAGCTCCTTCATCACTAGTTGGCATATGCAAAGTGAGAATTAAACGCACTAATATATTTAATTTCAGTGATTCAGAGAAGGAAGAAAAGATTTCAGCAATTCAGAGGAAAAACACAATAGCGAGAACTGGAGGAAATTATTAAAAATATAATAAAAATGAATATAATAAACATAAATATAATAAATACAAATATAGCAAAATTAAATCTAAAAATATAAGTACAAAAAATATAAATATAAAAAATATGAATATAAAAATATAAATATAATAAAAAATGCGTTTATATAGCTTTTAATTATGCATAACAAAATTATTATAGTCAGTTATATTTAAACGTTGTAAGTAATGCAAACGTAGTATGTACTACTAAAATCTTCATATTGATTTTATTTACATTGATTTATTTTATTTATTACTGTGTGTTCTTGTTAACGTTAATTAAATTTAATATTATTTGATTAAAAAAGTAATTTTTAAGGAACAAAGTTACGATTTGAGAAATTATGCTAAAATTAAATGTAAAAAAATCAAATAATTTTTATCTCTACATTTTAAGTAAAAATATAACCATTGACTAAAAATTCTAAACTTTATGCATAGAATTTCTCACCCTTCATGTTAGTCTCAAAGCAACAACTGCTTTTCTCGGTGATCATACAATTTTCTCATCGATTCTTACGTTTTTTTGAATAAAGTTGTTTTAAGGAAAATATCTCAGATAAAAGAAATCTACATTTTAATGGTTTAAGAGTTATAAAAGAGCAGTTTTTATATTATAATACACGATAGTATTTCTTTATTGTATAACCAGAAACTACAAAATAGCAACTGGTGCTATTAAATTGAAAAATGATTAAAACTTTTATTTTAAAACAAATTCAGTTAAATACGGCAACTTGTGACCTATGCAAAGTAATGTCTAGTGTTGGTCGTTGGCGTTCATTAAATCTAATTTATTACTAAAACTAAATAGCATAAAACATCTCGAAAGTTAAATTAAATTGAATTATTAGACTTAATGTAAACATCAAAGTACTTTAGTAATTGCAAAAACATTTAAACCTACTTATTTATTTATTTTCATTATTTTACACAGAATAAAGTATTGAAAAAGGTTAGTAAAAGAAATTTGGTATCTCTGAACGTGTAAAATTCGTAAAATAAAAAACAGACCATTCTGAATAACTTTTAATTTAATGATCGGATCTTTATTCTCTACTACTCAGTATTAGCAGGTCAATGAAGTAACCTCAAATATGCTAATTAATTGGTGCAGACGGTGTTTTAATTAGCGAAATCAGACACAAAAACGTACTTTCTCTGAATACTCTCTTACTCTCTACTGACCTTTTTTGTCTGATTTCCCCACCCCAAAATAAAGGGGATAGCCATAATCTGGAAAATATGGTCCCAATAGTTTGGTCAGGAGAGAGATCTAAAGTTTTGGCCCCATAATCTTAATTTTATACACGCACAGTTTGTACACAGTTATAAAACACATTTATTGGAGAAAAAAGTTCATGCAAAATATAATTTGCTGTAATTATTTATTATTTTATACAACTGTTTATACAATTGTTAAAATTGTTCAAACAAAAAAATACAATTGTTTTTTACCTCATTTTAAAGACTGCAATTTGGAATGGCAAAATACATACCTTACAATTCAATTTATACCTTACGATTCAAAAGTTTTTCGGCAAATTGCTAAATAAAGTAATAAATATTTTCTAAGAAGTTATATTTTGTTTGGAATTATCTTTAAATAAATGAAGAGCGTAAATGTGTGCAAAATTTATTTAATTCTCTTACAAAATTCGTGAGATATGATGAAATATACAAAAAGTAAAATTAATCATAGAGAGTCTAAATTTCCGGTTGTGATCATGACCAAACTATCTGGATCATATTTCCTAAATTGTGACTACCCCCTATATTTTGAAGGTCAGACATTTGAATCCGTCGAAAAAAAGTTATCTTTTTTCATAGAAAGTACGTTTTTATGTCTAATTTCGTAATTTAAAATATCGTTTGCACTAATTAATAAGCATATTTAAAGTAACCCTTTTGAGCCATTAAAATTGAGAACGTGAAGCCCTAAAATGTGATCACTTGATCAAAAGTTATTGAGGGTGGTTCATTTTATTTTTTTTGCGTAATGTAAATAGTATAAAACGAAAAAAACTTATCTTTAAAGGAATATTTAATTAAGTTTAATGCTTTTCAGCTTCCTTAATTTCATTAAATATTTTGAACAAATTAACATTCTTTATAGTCGTTGTGTATTCATTTTAAAAGTAGAAATGTTTAAAAGGAAAGTAAGAAAGTGAAAACCAACATGACAGCAATATTCAACAATTTCGTTCAGTTTATATAAAATAACTTATTTTTAATACATCTTAAAGTATTTTCGAAAACACAATGTGGCAGAATTCTGTCACATTACCACATTTTTAAGCTTGAAGGTTAATGCACTAACAAAATAAATTGAACAAAGTTTATTTTATTATTTTAATGCATACTCTATACTTAATAAATCTGAAATTAAGCAAGATTAAAGCATGTCAAATGCATTTTAAGGCAGGTGGTAATAGCTTTGTCTGTAGATTTTCAAGCAATTGGTTAATTAAAATTTCGTTTCATTACTGTTATAATCGATTGCTAAATAAACTGATAATATGCATGCATTATTT